ATCACAGAGAGTTCACGGTTGGTGTGACCCATCAAAGGAGAGATCCGTATTTGTTCTTAGTATAATTTGTATTTTGAAAGGAATTATTGTTAAGATAAGCCCTTCAAGTCCATAATGGGACGTTTTTAATTGCATGAGAAGAATTTTTACGCAATTTGAGTTTTTTCATGGATTTTGATAGAGCAAGCTTAGGAGTTATCAAATTTGAATTTTCATGGTCCTACTCCACCACTAAGTATGTTTTTTCTTTAATAATTTCAATTATACTTCAACAGTAATAAATCATTTCTCTACCTTGACTGAATCAGTTATTCATCATGATGTAATAGTAGGTGAGATGACATCAATTTCAGATCACAAGTGTTCCTGATATTGGTTTTTAACTCTAGAAAATTAATAGGAACATGAAATATTAAGAAATATAAAATGCTTTTATTTTCTTATGCTGTGTCTGCCATTTTGATTAAAATTTACTTCCGATGAGGTCATATGTGTACATCAAGTAACTTGGGAACTGATCATGCCATGTAAAGAGAATTTATCTATAACGGCATGTACAAAGATACGTAAAATGGTGTTTAGTTAAGAAATAAGGTATCATTTTTAAACATCTATCGGGATATGAGAGACTGATATTCTTGATTTCTTTGAACTTGGCAATCTGTGTCATCCGCACTTAAAATTCGCCCTTGAAATCTCTGTTGATTCAGTAAACATTTTAGACACAAAAGTGTATAAAGGAAGAAAATTTCAAGAATCAAACAAACTTGGTATCAAATCTTAAATGAAACCAACAAACAATTACAATTTCCAATATTTACACAGAGAGAGTTCTCACAATCCTGCAGTGTTCAAAGGTTTCTTTAAAGGTAAATACAAAAGATATGTGAGAAATACCAATGACACTGCCCTCAGTATTATTCTACAAGACTTTAAGTAATCATTGTCAAAGGGAGGCTTCTCTGATACAGAAATGGATCCTATTATCACAGGAATAATAGGAACAGACAGACATGATATTCTAAATAAAAGTAACGGCCAATTGAGACCCCACAATAAATTAGCTATGGTTACAAAATTTAATCCGAGAGTCAACGGACTAAAAATCGCATCTTAAAATACTGGAAAGAAACGAAAACAGACTCAAGATGCAAAGAAATATTTACCTCAAACCAATTAAACTTATAGCAAAGACAAAATCAAAGGCGATTATGATATAATTTTTAGATCATGTTTACCACCACAAGAATACACTGGACCCCTGATGAGGCAGGCATTAAGGCAAATACCCGTAACAAAACCTGTTTAATTAACACTCTTTACTGTATTTCTATATACTAGTATATTAATGAATACTTATATTTCCAACAGAAAGGAATGCCTATTTTAGAAATTTGGTTTAGAATCTACGGTCCTAATAAATTTCATGGACAAGTTTGGCTGATTGATATCTTTATTTTTAAACCAGAATTCTGGATTTTGTTTTATGCCCTATTCATAGTTTTGTAGTTATTTATGGATGCTATGGATTTTAGAAAGTATTGTCAAACAAAATTATCATGTAGATGTGCAGTAAGGTTTCGGAATTTTGATTTTGCCTCACGGGGTCAAATTGGGGTCGACAAATGATGTTTTTTATGCTAAAAGCCCCGTCTTCCCTGAACTCCTTCTACATTTTACTCAGCAGCCAAATCATCTTTTGGGAGATATTTGATGGTGTCGTGTAGAACAGGTCGGAGAGAATACTCGAAATCGGGTATTATCCGTGAAATCGCGTATAATACTCGATATTAGGGTATCGTTGAATCCGCGAAATCGGGTATTCCGTGCAACTTTCTATAAAAACCAAAGAATAAAGCAACGGCGCATTATGCCAGTAACTGTTACTTGTACATCAGTATCTTGTGGATTTATTTTTATTAAACCTAATTCATAAGGTTCTCAAATAAGTTTAAAATCACACGACAAACACTGCTGGGGTAACAAAGAGGACACAATGGCGTTATTATTTTTCAATATAATTTCTAAAAACAAATAACTACACTTCGTTTGTCTTTATTTCCCATTAAAGTATTCCATATACTTAATTTTCTTAATTTGTGCACTATTCACAAAACGTGAAATTTTAAAGAAATTAAACGACTAACGCCGTGTTATATGTATTTTTACTGAAAAATGTATGGCGTCCCTTTCTCGTGAAATATAAATTACTCCTAACAGTTAGAGAGTACAGTATAAGCGAGTCATGATTTTATATCTCTGCAATAATAGAATACCAACGTTATTATAAAGAAGAAAATAAAATAAGATGAAATAAATACCCACGAGAAAACAGTTTGAAAATAGATAATTCAAGGTGAGTATCTTTTTTTATGTCAATTTAGCATGGATTTTTTATTCAAAGACACCGTTAATTTTTTGGTTGCATTTTAATCGATACAAAATATACTAGTTTAACTTTATTTTATGCATTTGTGTGAAAATTGAGAGCGTGAAGTCATATGAACAGGATTTTCTTGTTTTTTTTTGGGGGGGGGGGTATAAATAAAAGTCAAATGTGTACATCTTTTCATGAAGTTAAAATACATTGAATTTCTCAATATAGATCGAGGTACAGTCATATTCAAATATGAATTACATAGTCAAGTTTTTACATTTCTTATAGTTTTTACGTTTATGAACATGTTAATAAACAAACTGAAATAATGGAGTGTTTAATCGCCTTGGAAATTCTTGTCTTACTTTTTGGGAATATAACTTCTCATCGGACATTAAAATTTCATAAAAATCGTAGCCACTTCCTTTCTTTATCATACTATTTGATAGACAGGGTAAATTTTACCTCTTTACCTTCTATATTTTATTATATCGCTATCTTATACCTCATTATAATATGCTAATACAACGCACTATCTGATTGGTTCTAGACAATATGTCACAGTTCTCTTTTAGTTATTTTATCTATGATACGTATTACTAATGGCAATAACTTGTCCTAATACTAATCTATAATGAAAAAATGTGTTTAAAAAATAAAACATGAATTCTAGTTACTTGTAGTCTTATATTGTTTTAGAAAATAACAGGTTGCTTTTTGTTTACCTACAATGTATATGATGAAGAAATCTTCCCTACGATTAAAAATATATGTTTAACCGACCGTGACATTCAAAGAGAGGTCTCTTGGACACATGTAGAACACAGTCGAGGTTGTTTTGTCAGAGGTGGTCAAGAAGTCTTTAGCCCCCCCCCCCCTTTGAAGTCGCCAAGAAGTGGTAAAATATTTATGACTTAGCGTTAAACGATCAACAGTTATGTTCTCTCATAAGCTGTATTACTGACACTATCACTGTCTCTGCTAAAATGTTGAATACATATTCTGCAAAATTTGTTTGAATGATAAATAAAATAGAAAAGATTTTCAAAAAAAAAGAGAAAAAAGGTTCTTTTAGCCGAAATTTTAGACATTTTTATCATTACATTATTTATACATTCATAAATAAATTTGATTTTTTGCACAAGATGAATGTGAAAGTAATTTATTTAATGACGCATAATTAGATACGATTATAGACAATCCCTTGTTTATACATGACATTATATATGGTGTGTGAAATGTGTTTCCGTATAATTTGATATATTTACCAATTGTTCATGTTTGTCATGTTGATGTGGAATTATTATAAATTCCCGAATTCTGATACTTTACAATTCTGTTGTGTTGGGAATGAACATAAGGAAGATGCATATTCTTTCAACATAAGGAAAAATATAAAGCAAATCGAACGCCTTTTTGTGTGCAGATCATGAAATGTACTGAGCTCCACGGGTATTTGTTGTCCCGAGCGCATTAATCTTGAAGTCCAAATTCTTACCTGGCTAGTGATACCTTTAGAAAACATGTGTATCTAGATGAAAGTTAACTCGGCAACATGCGCCATCCCATTGTTTAAGTTTTATTAGGTGATTACACCTCCTATACCCGATTTCGCGGATTCAACGATACCCTAATATCGAGTATTATACGCGATTTCACGGATAATACCCGATTTCGAGCATTCTCTCCGACCTGTAGAAGTGCAGTAAGTTTTCGGTATTTGGTTTTGCCCCGGGGGGTCAAATTGGAGTCGAAAAATGAGGTTTTTTTATGCTAAAAGCCCCGACTTCCTTGAACTCCTTCTACATTTTATTCAGCAGCCTAATCATCTTTTGGGAGATGGTTAGTGGTGTCATGTAGATGTGCCTTACGGTTTTGGTATTTTGATTTTGCCCCCCCCCCCCCCCGGGGGGGGGGGGTCAAGTCAGTAGCCTGATAATCTTTTAGAAGAGTTAAATATTTTGAAAATTAGGTAAAACTGTAGATACATTTTTAGCAAATTTGCAAGTTCATTGCATTCGCAAAAATATTTTTCTTAAAAATAATTCAACAATAAGAAAATGTAAAAAAAAAAAAAAAGTAGTGGTCATTCGCAAAATTTTGAAACGTAAAAAATATAATCAACAGCATTTTGACCCAGATATGCAAAGTAAAATCGATGTAAAAATTCCCAGATTTACGGTAGTATCCTCTTATGTCTTCTGCTTCTTAATATTATCTAACTGCTTTTCATGCTCAGGTTTCTCTGGTGTGTAGACTTCCTCCCCCCCCCCCCTCCCGCCGGATGTAATGATATCAACTTTTGATGCCACTTGTTTCCTTATTTTAGCAATAAAAATTGCTGAATTATGATTTCTTTTGCGTTTTCTTCTCCTAAGTTAGAAATGTATTTCAGAATTTAAGATTTGAATGTAGTGGGAACTGAATTCATGGAAATAACGTTTGTTTTATATTTTTGATGAATGTCGTGACAGATCTTATTAATATCATTAATGTTTTATCTTAATATCTCAGGGCAGACCCTACGACAGTTCTGTGAAAAGGTATTTTTCTATGCAAATATGATGTGTAGAATTAAAATACACACACTCTTTCACCTTTGAGGTTTCTTTATTTCTTATAACTGTAATCTTGATTATAAAAAACATTTATGCGTTTATAGAAAGAAAATATGATTGTTAAAAATCTAATTAAATGGTGTGAATATTTAAGAAGAAGGAACTTACTTTAATTGTCTAAAGAATCTGTACTTAAATACAAAAACAACATATCATTGCTATTCGTTTCACAAAAATAAAATAAATCGGATTGGTAATGTAATGTGAGATCTGGTAATAAATGATTTCTAGTTTTTGTGTCTAATCATCATCACAGTCTGTTTTAATGCTTCCTTTTCCTTTCCAGTCATACCATACCGGGTAGCTTTTACCAGTCACACCAGACTGTCCGTACTCTCCGTTAAGGTTTGAGGTGGTACAATTGTTGTACCACCAGGCTCCGCGTCGCTTTTCAGCACAGTTAACAGTACTCCATTTGTCGTTGTCCTGATCCTTTGTACTAAATTGCATTCCACTGTGATAATCCAAACTGTCACCTACAACAGAGTTTATATAACGTTGTAATCTATAATTCAATGAGAAAATAACATAACATCGTAACCTGCACAGTTATCACTGTTGTCCTAGACTCATGTATACTGTAGGTTATTAGTAAATATAATTTGAATGTGTATGTACGTTATATCATTTATCTTGATTATTGATGATATCACAAGTGCTTTTAAGTGGTTTTTTTGCTTAGTCATTTTGCTGCATGTTGTTAAATTGATGATCATAAAAGTAATCATACCGAAATGAGTCCACGTACATATTTGGTTTATTAGCATTGCAATACTGAATATTCAAGGAATGAAATAATATTTACCCACGTTATACTGTATAACCTTGAAAGTTTGATTGGGACAGTTAACGCGTTAAAGAACCTTGAAAGTTTGATTGGGACAGTTAACGCGATAAAGAAAGTTTTTTTTTTTAAAGAGATTAAAATATTGCAATTCATTTTTTTACAAGTATAACTTGCGTTGTTATTTAAATTTTTCTTCATAATATAATTTTTTATCATTTTAAAGTGTAAATATTAAGGTAATATCCATTCAAAAATGTCTTTATAAAAAACGAAATGAAAATGTGACATCAAGCAAAACTTTCTTAATGTATGTCAAATTGTGACGTAAGCAACAAACTCTAAATTATATAAATCAATTTTTCTATCCAGTCAAAATAATCCGATCTAAATTACAAACTGATATTTCAATCCCTGGTGATGACTGAACAATATATATTGCATCATTGTTATGAGTAAATCTACCTGCGGTTCCTGAATACCCCGACACTGGAAGTACGTATTTACTGTCTTCGTTCCCAACATAAAATGTGGAGTACTGGGCGAATACTTTGTCACCATTAAATCTTTGTAGCTCAACCCGGAGTTCCTGGCCTTTGTTCTTTGTCAACTCATAGATTGCGTCATTTCCTTAAAAAAGGGGAAAGACAGGCATATTACTTTATGGCACATATTTCTTCAAAATTGTTTTTTCTATTCATGTAACACATAATGTGCTTCGTTGACTTGTAGACAAATATTGTAGTACTAGAGAGATTTGTAATATATTGTTGATCAATCAATTAGAGGGGATAGGGAAGCTGAAATGTTTCAATTTTTCATAATTATCTACCATATTGTGACTAGTATTTACTTTCTTGTTTGATGTTATAACACATATTGTAAATTAAGGGGGCCGACTATAGTTTTATTGTGTGAAAACTACAATAGCGAAACTCTTCATTTTTATACCATATGTAACTTACATTAACTTCAGTGTACATGCAAAGTTTGGGGGAAATCTACCGTCCAGGTATTTTTTAGGGATCGTCTCAAAATACAGGTACATTTACTATAGGATTATATAGGAAAATGCCATTTTTTAGCACTCTAAAGCTAATTATACAAATACTACAATAGATATTTTGTTCAAACTATAATATTTGATGAGTAATACTATATTATACAATATATGTAAGAGACAGAAAATATTACCATCTTGTTACTAGGAGTGCATCTCAAAATGAGAAAATTTGCATATTTTACTATTTTTATAGAGTATTACAAAATATGACAAACATAATTGATTCACCTGAAAACATAATAAAAAATGTTGGAGATGTTCTAAAATTTCTTTGTTTTAAATTTTAAGAGTGTATGTTTATTACTTTTTCTTTAATAATATTTTTATTACCCCTTTCTTTAAGAGCTACAGATTAACATAACATCAAAAAGACACTGCAGCGACGTCAACCTACCTATCAATGGCAAAATCGGTTAAATAATCAGTTATATCAAATCGTAATTACATTTTTATACCTATAATTTCTTAATTTTGTTTAATTTTTTAATAATTAAGCGAAAAAAGTTGCATTAAAACAATAAATACGCCTCATTTTACTATGATGCGCGAAATATTGCGCAATGGAAACTATAGTCGGCCCCCTTAAATGCCTATCACCTTTCTTACGCAATGAAAATGACATAAACATTTTTATTTTACCAATTTATATGTTCAAAAAATTTAACAACCTGTATCATCAAAATTTTTAATAGTTATCAATTAGTTCGATGAAAGGTGTAGAAACTGGAATGTTTAACACAAGACTGATGTAAAGACACTATTCTGTAAGAATATATATATATATATATATATATATATATATATATATATATATATATATATATATATATATATATATATATAGTTGAAAATAGTTCACAGTCGATTTCACACAGGTGAAAATAATTATAAAAGAAAAAGAAAATGAAGTTTCCAAATTTCATTTAACACAAGCGCTTTCTGGATCTCATAATCCGTCTTCAGGTGTACATAAATTGAACTGATTGTTTTGCTTAGTAACGTTAACTATGACGTCATGACATCATGAGAGTCTTTGCAGGGAAGGAAGTAATCTATGACGTCATAGTATGGCTACGTTACGTAAAAGTTAGGGAAAATCAAATTGGACAATAATGGACAATACATCACATATTTTTCAGTCTCAATAAACAAAGTAAACAGAAATTCTAATTGATGATATATAAAATTAGGTAATTTCTCAATGTTAATGTTTGTTCAGTTTTGGTGAAAAAAGATTTATGAAGTAGTTTTCTTTTGCTAATCTCATTGCAGTGGAATCGTTCCTAAGTTTATAAAAGGGGAACACACAGTAGTTTCCTTGTGAGCAAATATCGAAATGTTCACTGCAT